ATTGCCCAAGCTTTATGTTATTAGACATTCTTGATAAAAATTATTTCCCCACCTCCCCAGTCTACCTATATTCTCTTAATGATGTCTGGGTCCTGAGCTCTTTGTGCAGTCTAAAGAAGGTATTGCAATCACAACCATGTACTGAATGATGATGAAAACCTCTGGTAGCAATAAAAAGTTGTCCTTAAATTTTGTAACTTTTTTTTTTTTGCTTATGAAAAGGGAGGTATAGGATCTTGATTGCTACTTAAGCACTACTTTGGGAAAACTATAGAAATTCTGAAAATACACTTACTAAAGGAGAATTTTAATATGACAGGGATATTAGATTGGCAGTTCAAACCACTTCCTAAGATATCCATTTTTTTCCCATTAAGATTTACAGAAACCCCATGGAGGTTCACTGTGAGTCAGAATTGATTCAACAGTAGTCGGTTTGGTTTTGTTTTTCTTCTCCTTTCCTGCTGGGTGAGATTTTAAGACATAAATGTTCCTTTTATTCCAAGGTAATTTACTAACAACTAGAAAGCTATCCATAAAGGTAAGCCTAGGAGCAGAGTATTTCCTCTGTAGTCCTATAGCTCTAGATTGAGTAAGATACAGATTACTCTCTAGCCACATAGCTCCAGATTGAAAATGGGATTTTCATTGTTTAATATTTTCTAAGCAAATGTTGATGGTAAATCCATTTGGAATATATTGCTTTTAGACATGGATTTTTCCTTTTTAATGTTTTTATGATGGTTGATTGTAGACTTTTCCATCTTTAATTTCTGATCTTATTAGCCCACTAATTTTATTCAGATTTAGCAGAACCAAGAGTCCTGTGATGTTTTGACACTGAAATTGTGGTGTGAAGATACACTGCTTTTTGGCCTCATAATCTTTAGCAAAGAAGCATTTAATCAGATGTAAATATAGGGATTGAGAGGGAAAATGACTTTTTGTCTGAAGATAGGAAGTTAGCTTTAGGGAGAAAAGTTGAAAATATGACCAACCCAGGCACAACAGTTGATGTCACTTGGAGCAGCCAAGCAAGAGGAGCATATTTAGTATATGGTTTATGGCCTCCTTAGCAGAACTTCAGATACTTGTTGACTAGACTTTGGAACCACGGAGGCTGAATGCTCCCTTGAAATTGCCATCCTGAAATAATCTTTTAAATCATTAAACATTTCCTGAAGTCATCTTCAAAAATAGTTAAACCTGTTTTAAGCATTGTGCTCATCAAAATCTACATGGAATCAAATTGACAGCAATTTGAAAAAAGGAACTTTGTTGGGCATTGAATTTATATTCATGGAAGAGGGAAAACCCAGAAGAGTGAAAATTACTATACAGCTCATCATAATCAGTGTCAGTAAACTGTACATATAAAAACAGGTGAATTGTATTTTGTCATGTATATTCTTGACAATTTGAAATAACCTCTTAGGTTCTCAGTTCTAAGAATCCAAGTTTTACAGCTACATTAATATCTGTACATTAAATGGCATTTACTTCCCCTCTTAACAGATGAGGACATAGACTTTTGGTACATAAAAAGCTAGACATAAATTTGCATCTAGAAGCAGATTATTTACTCTGTAATCCCATAAATTACAGGCTGAATAAAAGAATTTTCATTTCTTGACCTTGAGGTTGTCAAAGTAAAAATTTATGGTAAATCAGTTTAGAATAGAACATAATTTTCAAGGGAAACAATTTAGTGGGATAGTTGGGCTGCCAGCTCATGCTTCCATAGCATGGTGACCAGACTTTCCTGGCTACCATTTCAGGTCACACCTCCTTGGGAAGGTGTCAGAGACATCCTTCAGGGCCTAATGTGAATGAGGTAGAAAGCTTTGCTTCCCAGGAACATTAACTCATGGATTAAGACAAAACACAATTTTATTCTATGTGGAACTTTTAGATTGTTCATGCTGTAAAACTATGCTATTTTATCCCGTATTACTTTGTGCTAAATCTTTGCATAAACTTGAATGTAGGAGGCTAGAAGATTTGGAAAGTTGGGTTTAATGAGTTGACTGGTGCCTCCTGGTGGTTAAAAGGGTATCACTCCATGAACTTCTAGAAAGGGAGGCAATAGATTCGATAAATGTTTCAGTAATCCTCTGTTCAGGAAAAGTGAAAGAGCATGTCTAACCTTATAAAATCAGGTAAACACAGTAATTCCAGTCTTTGATGAGGTTGCTTTTCTGAAGAACAATGTTTTTCTCTGTAGACACTTGCATATGTATGCTTGCATTAGATTGGGGGGTGGGGGATGCTTCTAAAAGCAAATGAAAAGGTACAACTGATGAGTCAGATTTTTTTCCTGCCACTCCAGCTCTGAAACTAGAAAGTAACTCTCCACTCAGCTATTCTGCTAAAAATCTATAGGTGAGAATTAGATGTTGGTTGCCTGGCTTCAAGAAATAACCATTTCTGGTTTTTTTAATTTCTGTGCTTTATATACCCGAATTTGACTCTTTTTACTCATTCTGGAGTTCCTTAGCAGGAAGTTGTGTTGTGAATTACCTATTTCGGTACAATGAAAATTCACTTGAGAAGATGGTGATCAAGCAGTATGAGTCTGTTTTCTTCAGCCTAAAGGCATCAGTACATTTTTAACTGAGAAAGGGAAAATACTTTGCCAAATGTCTGACAGTCATCCTGAGAGATAAGCACCCATTTTAAGCTTTTATTCTTCCAACTTGGTACCTGTTTAAAAATGTCCTGAGATTTTGCCCAATATGTCAGTGTTACTTGCAAGGTCTAAAAAAGTGCTTAAAGTTAGCCTTTATGCTGTGGTATTTCATACTCTTTGGAAGAACAAATGATGAGGCTTTGCCTCATATAGTTTGGGTATGTTGCTAGGAGAAACTAGTCCTTGGAGAGGGACATGATGCTGAGGGTGGAGGGTCAGCAAAGGACAGGAAGACCCCCAACCAGGTAGATTGACACAGTGACTTAACTACTACAGAGGACTCTGTCAGGAAGTGGGAAGATGGCATAGGATAGAACAGGGCAAGGCAGATGGAATACGAGCAAGATGTTTCTATTTTATTGACTATGAAATGTACTTGGTGTAGATTGTAAGACATTACTGATAATATTGCAGAGAAAGGGAATTTCGAAACAATGTGGTCATGCACAAATGTTTATGTGCCCAAGAAGCTGTCAACTGAACACAACAAAGGGAATACTGAATGATTTAAAATTAGGAAGTGTGTACATTCGGGTTGTATTCTTCTGCCATACCTACTCAATCTGCTTAGCAAACAATCTAAAAAACTGAACTATATAAAGAATGTTGTATCAGGATTGGAGGAAGACACCAACAACCTGTGATACACAGACTTGAAGCACTGAAGATAACGGACTATAAGCCACCAGTATGGATTAAACTTTAACAACATACAAATCTTCATAACTGGACCATTAAGCAACATCATAATAAATGTAGAAAAGACCAAAGTTGTCAAGGATTTCATTTTACTTGTATCCACAGTCAAAACTCATGGTAGCAGCAGTCTAGAAATTAGATGTTTTGGTCTGCTGCCTTTCTTTATTAAAATGCTAAAGGAACCACTAAGGTGTCCCTAATTCAAACCATAGCATTTTCAGTTAGTTCTTAAGCATGTAAGGTGAACAATGAACGTGGAAGACCAAAGAATTGATGCCTTTGCATCAGTGAATAATATTGACTGAATATTCCATGGATTGCCAAAAGAAAATACAAATCTATTTAAGTGCAGGCAGAGTACTCCTTAGAAATAAGGATGACTTTGGCTCACACACTTTGGGCATGTTATCAGGAAGGCCCAGTCCTTGGAAAAGGGTCGGCAAAGATTCAATGAGATGGATGGGCGTAGTGATTCCAGCAGTGGTTTCAAGTACATCAAGGGTTGATAGCACGTGATACAAGCAGGGTTTCTGTCTGTGCGGCTTGGGCTCACACGAGGAGCTGACTTGAGACAGTTAAAAAAGATTGCTTTAATTTGGAAGACACCAAACGTTTTGAAGATGGTGTGACAAGGAAAAAGAAACCCACAACAAACTTTTTCATTAGAGAAATTAAGTTGTTTGGGCTTGTATGGAAATGAGCAACAGAACCCTCATTTCTTGTTGCTAAGTCAGCATTGACACTTTACAATTCAGAGTTCACTTACAGCAGAAAAGGTCTGTGCATACTGAGCTCATCTTTAGTAAAGGTCATTCCCAGTAAACATTCTAGATACCAAGTCACACATGTACACAGTTAATTTCATGAATTGTACTCTTGAGTAGGTACCAAGAGGTCAAGTCCCAAAACCCCTATTTTCAGTTCGTGTTGTATGTGACCATAAGAACGGGAAAAGTGAAGTACAAACTGCATAGAATCAAGAATTAAAAGCTTAAATAAGCTAGTAGAAACCAAAGTGGGAAAAGAAAAACAAAACGCTTACCCTCACAATGTTTATCAATTTAATGGTTTTTAGTATGTAACATTAAGACTCAAGGATAGGCATAATTGTCTCCTGAGCCAGAACTCGATTGCTTTTAAAGATGTAAAAATCTCTTCCCATTCACTGTGTCTTACCAAGTATAAAAAAACCAACTCAGACTATTTCCAGGAGCTTCGAAATGAATAATTAATGAAATGAGTGGAACCATGCCTCTTGGCTTTTAAATGCAAGCTTCATTTTAGGTAGGGCAGGTAGAAAGGTATTTTTTCTAACGGTTTTTGGTACAATAAACTGGTTTTTCTCAGAAACTGTTTCTTTTCTTTGGCAAGAAGACACTCCAGAAGGTAACTTCTTAAGGTGATTGTGAAGGGAAGTCTGAAATCTTTTTGCCTTTCAGAATAGGATCTTTATCAGGCAAGTGAGCCTAGATAAGGCTTACCTTTCCCCTTACTCCAAGTTTGCTGGGTCAAGTGGTGCACAATGAGGCTGCACCTAATAAGGGTGTGGGACAGGATAAAAAAAAAAGTGGAAAGGCCAGTTTTGAATAAAGGGCAACGAGAGCTAGAATAAAAATTTGAAGGTTTCAAAAGCATGTATACAAAGTTCTTTTGGTAGAAGAGACCAACCTAGTTCTAATAGCTTTTGCTTCCCCTGATCTGAGAGACAGAGAAGGGCGGCGGGCGGGGGCTTGGGGGGGTGTCCAGAGTGCACAGCCAGCCAATTTATAGACTGCTACTAGTCAGAAATGCATGTCAACGTTGGACAATGAGTAAGAAGAATGATGTCTTTGAACTGTTGATGTTGGTGAAG